TAACTAAATGTCATTGAATGATTGGTTGTGAAGCATAATCAATGAAGTCTGAAAAGAGCATTGAGTTCTATTTGGACTGAAACTTCATTATTCTGCTGAATTCTTATAAGATTGCTGGGCAATTTTATTCAGCACTGTATAGTTGAGGGAGAATGGATGTTTTCATAAGCTTCAATCTGCTTTATATAGCATTAAATGGTTCTGATGGGAGACTCCAGTAACACCTGCAGGAATACACTCCTGGAGGAATGAAACTGCACCCCTTGAACCCCCATCAGATGTCGCAAGTGTGGCCAGTGGTTAGGAATGATGGAAGTTGTAAACTAACAACTTTTAGAAGGCTTACAGGTTTGTTGCCCTTTATCTCAAAGTTTGTAGTCACTATGCAGGTTAATTTTATTTAATTTCTGTTACTGATGGCTCGTAAATATGCTAGGCTTGAATTAAAAGATTTTTGTTACTCAACGTAAATATCAATTACCGCAATATTTCATAAGTTACTGCATCACAGAATAGTATAACTAGAATTTACGTGAAAGTCTATTCATACAATCCCTACTGTTATTCGGGGTCGTTAAATTGCTACAATGCTACACTGTCATCATTACACTTGGTGTTTAAAATCAAACTGACAAGAAGAGAAACCAAACCATATCATACTGGGCAAGAACTGTTTTGAAGCTAAAGAATATATTAAAGAAACCCAGATGACTTGAGCAAACCGAAGACCATCTATTATCTCACATTTATTTCAGTTTTTTCTCGAGCAGAACTAAACTACTGATTTGGAGATCTGCCACAATCAAGTTACTGTTTCCATCCTTCTTTGTGATGCTTTTCTCTTCATGAAAGTTTGTTGATGATAGCTAAATGGAACATCCATAAAAAAATGCAGTATGATTGTTACTCCTGTGCAGCAGGATGTCTTTCCACAGTGTGGGCTCATATGTCACCTGTATAAGCTCCTAGAGAACATACATCTGGCTATCAAAACATTTGCCATAGCTGTCCTTAGTTACCTCTCATTGGGACTAATGTAACATGTTACATGCGGAACAGTTGGTTTCTGGACACAGTTCATGCTATTAGTTATTAAGTTATTAAGTTCAAATATGTAAATATTTTGGAGCAACGGGAACTCACCCCTTTGTGCAGATTCGAACTGGTGATCTTTCGATCAACCAGCCCAGCAGCACAGCAGTTTAAACCACTGCACCACCTACTTCCCTATTTTGGGCCCAGGTTGTCTAAAAGACCATCTCTTCCTGTATGACCTTGTCTCTCTGTCTAGAAGATTGCCTGAGCATGTTTTCTGGTGCATCCTGGCTATATTCAAAGGGCATCTGGTAGGAATGCAGGAAAGAGCCTTCCTGTAGTTGCCACAGTGTTTTGGAACGTTGTGCCCTGGGAGATCCAGCTTGCTCTTTAATGATCTTCTGCCACCTTTGAAAACATACCTTTCCTTGTTAATCTGTATATTCACTGGCATTTATGTTTACTTTTGGTTTTTATTAGGCTTAACTCTGCACTTAATTGCTCTTGTATTTTTCCCTGTATCTTTGGACTGAAAGGTGGGGCTCACATTTTCTAAAATAAAAATAGGTACTCACCTGCATCCCTTTTCTTTCATGTACAATACTTTAAAAAAACCCTCAATGTTTGAGATAGAACAGGGTTTAAATGAAAAAGAAATACATTTCCAGGGTGATTTATCACACTCTTCTTCCAAAAAAACTCAGAACAGCTCACATATTCTTCCCAACCAGTGTCCCATGCTGGTGCCATACAGGTGCTGCATCTGGTTAGCCACCACTAGTGACTGCATCATACCCCTTTGGTTAATACATGTATAGCTGAAACAGCATCCCCTCTTGCCGTATGAGTAAGAAGCGGCCAAAGTAGTGAAGATACTGCTGTTCTTTCCAGGAAGTGGTTTCATTGCTGGAACCTCCTTCTTTTTTAAAGAAAAGCAAAGTGAGAAACATTCATTCTGAGAACGTCTTTCAGTAACTGATCAATGGTGAATGCACATGACATCTAGAGCCTCTTGCTCTTTTCAAGTTGGGGCCTGTTTTATCGTTTTGCAATAAGTGGCACGCCATTAGATAGCAGCAGCTGTATACAGACTACATGATGCATTGCTTCAATAGTTTATCCTCTTAAAAGCATCTTATATGAAAGCAGGTGTCACAGCCTCAATCTAGTTTAAGGATATATGAATCAAGGCAAAGAGAGAACTAATGATCCTGTCTGCCTGGTTCCATCAGGCAAGCATATGCACCTGAGTAGACCTTCTTGGTTAATTTGGGGTAACAGCTGAGGAACTGCATGAAAGCAGAAGAGCCCAGTTTAGAAATGGCAAAAGAAAAATGGTGAGGTGGAGGTTGGTCTCCTAAAGAGGTAAGTGTAGCAAGGAGTATCATGGGGACGGAATTAGTATAGAATTTGGTTTGATTAGAATATCTGTTAATAAGAAGAAAGGGAACAAAACTGCCCTTCACATTAGGGATTAATGCAGTCTATCAACTCTGTGCTATTTTAAAGCTTAAAGTCCAGTTTGAAATGCTTGAGAAGAGAATATATGCTACTTCTAGATCTTATTGGCATGAACAACAAGTTAACAGCAATAATGCCAGACTTCCTAAAGGAAGTAGCCATGTACTTATCAACCAGCACAGCTGTGGCTATGTTGGTTTTGCAGTTCTCTGTTAAAAGATAAAATTGAAATACCACTTCTGGAAAGTACAGAAATGTTCCCCAGTACTGAAACATGTCCACCAGAATCTTCTCCAGTAGGTACAAGGCAATACAATTGTGAAAGAAAGATCAGCATGCCTGCATGCATTCACCATTTGGAAAAATTCTCTACTGTGATTGGAAGATTATGGGCATCCTGTGAAAAGCAGAAGAGACAAGGAGAAGAAGGTTGCCTCTGTGCTTCTCTGACCCCGTGGAACACTTTGTGTTTTGGCTCGGTGTGTGAGGAGAGGAAGCTTCAGTGCTGCCAGGGTACTAGGTGTGATGGTGGAGCCTGTCTCTTCCCTTGTCTTCACTGCCACTCAGAATGCCCACGAAACCTCATCTCTGAAGTTGCTCTTGTAACCTCAGAGCTAGGGCAGCGCCAAGCTTTCCACAGTAGCTGCTGCAAGGGCACAAGGATGGTGCTTTGAGTTCAAACTCCCAGCTCCAACCTTCGGGTAAGTTTCTGAGGTCAGAGTCGAGACTCAGAATTCTCCTATGACCATCTAGAGCCTTGCCTAGCAGCCACAGGATTGTGCTATATATTTATATTGACATATAAATATTAAGTGTCACATTTAAAATACACAATTAAAAATAATTTCAGCTATAATGTCCATACAACAAACAGTAAGATGAAACCGTCTACAATTAATTCTAATTAATTAAAGGCCAGAGAAAACCTGGGTGAACAAGTGAATTTTCTGGAGCCATTTAAAACATTTCATATTTTCTGTCTTGTGAACTGTGTGTGTGGGGGGGTGCCCCACCACAATTAAGATAATAGGAAGTATTTGCCAGGCATGCCAGTTCATATAGCTCTATAATCTATAAGAAATATGATGTAATTATATGATGCAGAACTTCCATAAATACACTATGGTACTGAAGAAATAGAGGGGAGAATGTATTTTTGTAAGTGGAGCCCTCTGAATAAATCATCCATGTCTTAATGCAGAGCAGCAAAAGCTCATGCAGTGGACAGCCAGTTTGTCTGCTAATGCAAGTGGTCTACTCTCTTGAATAGTGCAGTGTCTGAAATGTAAAGTGTTGGAAGATTACTGCAGCCACTTCTTTTAAAATCATGAAACTAGCCTCTTCAATCTTCTGTATGTCCTCACTTCAGATGTCCAGTTTACACCCACAAACGCACACACTAGATGGGAAGTGTTTTTCAGTGTAAGGTTGGTAATGGCTCTGAGTAAGTGTCAAGTGCTACACTCCAAGGCATCTCTCCGTTTTCAGGCACGCTAATGTGTATGCCCTCATGTTATAAATACAGGTTCAACTCTGTATAATCATTAAATTTGAAATGTTCTTGGAGAAGTGATTCCATTAATACTTCCATTTAGAAATTAAAACATTGTGTAAAACATGGCAATGAACTCAAAAAAGATTCCAAATTAATTTATTAACTTGTCCTTTCGTGTGTGTGTGTGTGTGTGTGTGTGTGTGTGTGTGTGTGAGAGAGAGAGAGAGAGAGAGAGAGAGAGAGAGAGAGAGAGAGATTTTATTTGCAAACCATATTGTTCTGTCTCCAGAAAACTGAAACTTGAATTTTGCTATCAGATAAGTAAAAATCATTAAAATGCAGCATGCTTTAAACTAAATGGTTTACATTGTGTGAGGAGGCTTTGATCACAAATGAACAAACTTAAATAGTTTGTTCATTTCCAAGTAGCCCTCTTAAGCTTTTCACAATGTGGATACAGTTCCATCCACACACTTTTTCCCTTTTTCTGCAAGATGGTTTATATAATGATATATTGCACTAAGCTATATGTCTAGTTGTGCTGGTTTGGATCCCTAAAAGGATGTATCACTTTAATTCTGTAGGTAATAATAACCCATTCTATTTGTGTTGTACATCTTTCTTGAATAAGCTCTTCTCTTGGGATGTTTCAACCATCTATTATCATACCCCTTCCCCATTTGGCTTAAAATAGGTATCTGTTTCCTAAGTAGTCCTTGGCTAAAGGACTGCTTCAGGATTTCATGACTCCTAAAGTATTTCTCTCTTCTCCGCCTTCTAAATCAAGTGAGAAAATTTTATAATGTATTAGAATTGGCTCATGAAGAATATATCAAATGAAAGATGGCAGCAAAAGGTAGTGCTCTTGAAAGGTTCTCCTGATTTACTTACTTTCCTGCAGTGGGTAGTAAGATGTGGCTAAGTTGGTAATCTGGTACGGGTCATCTGAAATAGCCTAGCATTAGCTGTTTCGTTACTAAATCTTACCTTGCTGTATTCATTTTTCTAGGCACACCAAAGACTTCTTCCATGGCAGACCGTAAGAGTGGTTTATTGCAGTACTATAGTGCCATCTGATGGTGAGTACGATAAACAAATTGGTTAAAAGATTTCTATTCAAATACTCAAGAGTGGTGTATTTGTCTCATTTTACTTAAAAATGTAACTCAGTAGATTTTTCCTTGTAAATCACGACCAGTGGCATTAAGTAGTAGGAAGGAACAGTTCAAAACCCAATGAAAAAGTGTGCTAGCTGAATGAAATTCCATCAGGCCAGCCTAGTTTTCTTCACAAGAAGTGCACGATTTAGAATTTCCCCTTCCCCTTCCCTGCTTCTTGTTTACATAAGGTTCTTCCTTCATGAATATTTATTCTTGGTAACCTAATGACAGGTGTCTGTCCTTTCTAAAACATCACTTTGCCAATCTAGGTTAGGGCTGTCACTTCAAGGTCAAGTCTGTCTTGAAGGTCAATTATATTTCTTTTTATTCTATGAAATAGTACATACCTGTACTTGGTCTTTTCCAAACCTAACTTAATATATATAATTTAATTTCAGATTTATTTATCCTTTTTTTTTTTGTTTTGCAACTGCTTGGGAAAGCTTTACCAATGATGCTTTAAAAAGGTTTTGCATTTCTTGCATCTTACTTTGAACATACATGATAGCATATGCAATCTTAAACAAGTTTTTTTCAACTTTCTCTGTTGTGCATTTCCAGCATCTACAATATATGTATTCCAGCTGAAAATATATTACTGCTTCCCCTTTTCCAAATTTTCTGGGATATGTTTGCTTCCTTCGGTCATTAACCTGTGCTTATGAGTGATGGTTGTTTTTCAGAATATTTTGTGAACTCCTTTCCCACTGTTTACTTGTGGATCATTGGACACAGAAAATGTCGCAAAAGAATTCTAAGATTAGATCCAACCAAAAATTAAGATAAGACATAAAATCCTCAAAATCATAGTGAAACTTTTTGTCTAACAAAAAGCCAGTGAATACGTCACTGAACTTCAAAATCAACTAACGAAAATAACTAAAATCATCATCAGCTGCAGCAGCCCTTCACAGTCCTCTAAAACAAACATTTAGTATCTGCATCTTGTAGGCAAATCTCTGGGTTTGTTCCAGCATCTTGAAATGTTGCTGTATTCTTTGAACTGTTATCAAAGGATGGGGTCGTCTGCCAGACTAGATGTTTAATGTATGGATTAGGCTTTTGTCTTAATTTGTTCCAGAGGTGTTAATGTAATGGGTATTTATTGTGCTGTTGGAAAGCCTGTAAGTCCCATTTTTAAATTTTGCTAAAATGTTAAGAATGCTATTTTATCAAGTATTTCAAAATATTATTTCTAAGAATTAAAAATGGATTTGAGAACCTATTTTAAGAAGTCACAAGTCAAGGGGAAAAGAACATGGGAATACACATCCAGTCACAATACAGAAGACTACATAGGCCAGAAGGCAAAACATCCAAGCTCTTAAAAGGGGTCTGAAATAGGTCAGGGGGGTCAGAATGTTCTTTCTCTAAAGCAAAGAAAAGCATAAAAATCTGAAAATACTATTTTCTCTTTCTAAAAGCAACAGGGCATTCTATTTAGGAATATGAAAAAGCTGGAGATCCCGTAGTTCAACAAAAGAGTTACTTGCCATTAAACAGTATATGAGGATGTGGGTAGCACCAAATTTAAAGTTATACATTATAATTGTCTCCATTTCTGAATATCAAAATACATAATTTTCTCCATTTCGGAATATCAAATGTGAGTATCTGTGGTTAGGTTGCAAAATCAGCATCACCAACATGTAAGAGGGTAGAACCTCAAGGGAAAGGTTTGCTGAAGTAAATTTTCAAAAATTAAGGGGAGGGCAAAGATCCCCAAACAGGGAGACAACAGTCACAGCCTGTGTGCCTGGAAGAGGTGAGAGGGGAACACATGTTGGATACAAGTCTGTTTAAGCTGTTAACCAAGATCTCAGCTAGAACTCAGGATATAGGCACAGCCCGTTCCTCAAACATTTGAAGCCACAGATCAAGCTAACTGGCCTAGTTCTCTCTTTCAAGTCCCCCCGTCCAAAATAGAACCCTGCCAACACTGGGCAGCCTCCCACCTGGGGATATACACTCCATTTTAAGCTGCAGATTGTGTCAGCACACCATTGCTGGCATTACATCTGGGACAGCACATTCTGAAATGGTCTCTCTTATATTGTTTTATCATGTTCAGCTCTGGGGTTTATCATGCAACCTCTAATACAGAGAGGGCACTCAGTAGTGATCTTCTCAACTGCCTGGGTCATCTCTGTATCCCATAGATCAACTAGGGATTTGACAGAACTACCAACGTATCAGTTGGACCCCCCCCCCCCAAAGCCCTCTAAAAACCATCAGGATTCATTAGCCTCCAGGCAGACCCTCTTAATAGGTTCCCCACCTTTGCAGGGGGGAAAAGCTGCTGGTATGGTCAGCCCTTTCCTGCATATGTGGTTACGTATGATTTCTGTTTGTGGCACCTCGGGTCAGATGTCGGGGAGGGTTAGTTCCTGTCTGTGTGTTTAACAGACCATCTTTAAATGTGTTTATTGGGGTCAATAGTAGAAAGTGACATCACTCAACACATGTCCTTACATAGGCGTGGGGGGTCTTCTCAATGCAACATCTGCCGGCCTGAACCAGTGTGGAGGGCTACCATCGTTTCTCACCACCTTGCTGTGGACGGCACAGTTAATACAATTGGGAAGCTTCACGTTGACCTTGGGCAACACGTCTGAGTCAAAGACGCTTGCCTCAATTAGCTCTGACTTCTACAGTGTTTCAGCTATAACTTCTTAGTAGCCTTCTCCTTGGGTGTTGGGAACGAAAGGAACAGTTATCCTTGGCGCACGTTTCAAGGTCAGGCAGATATGGACTCATGAAGTGATGATGTGTTCTGGGCTCCAGAATTCTCCAATGTTGAAATGGAAGAAGCTAAGGGGCTTGTCTCAAGGGCATATTCAGGTGGTCATAGAGGATTTACAGCTACAAGGAGGGGGCATGGAAGAAGGATTCCTGCAGTGTCGGGATCCGGTTTGCTCTCGTGACCAGAAGCAGAGCATCCACCACTGTCTTTGCAAGATCGGTTCCAGGCCTTGGAGCTCTCAGTCTACTGCCAAGTGCCAGTTGGGAGCCCTGGGGGAAGAGCTGTAGAAGAGCAACTGGCCTCAGCACTGCAGATCTGCCTGTTTGCTCTAGTGCCTGCTCCTGGTTCCTACTGTGTCACCTGCCTTGCCGTGTTGTCTCTGCAGCAGAGATCCTCCCGTCTGCTGCTGTACCCACATCCTGCTTTACATTTCCTGCTCCTGACTCCTGCTGTGTATCCTGCACCTTGTCATGCCTCCTGCACCTTTCTGTGTCTCCTGCCTTGCCACGTTGCCTCAGCAACACAGGTTCACCTGTTTGCTGTTGTGCCTGCACCTTGCTTGAGGGTTTCTGCTCCTGGTTCTTGCTGTGTTTCCTGCCTTTCCATGTTGCCTTGTTCTGCTGTTGCCTGGCCTATATACGGCCTCACCTGTGTATCCTGCCTTGCTGTGTTGACTCAGTGACACAGGGCTTCCTGTGAGCAGTGGTTCAACTCCTGTATTTTGCCTGACCCTGGTTCCTTTTTTCTCATGTATCTTGCCGTGCTGTGTATCCTGCCACGTCATGCCTCCTGCCCTGTTATCCTGTCCAAGGTACCTGCACCTCTGTTTGTCCTCTTTGTTCTTAACCCTTGGCTTGTTCCTGACCACGTCCGTGTTCTGCGCTCATGCATTCTTTTGGTTCCTAACCTTGGCCTGTATCATGACCATAACTTGAACTTTAAATGCTTAAAATTAAATGTTGCTTTTGGACGCTGTCTTTCCTGACGTTTTGTTACCATGGCGCAGGTGCCTCTGTTGTTCTTGTCTTGTCTCATCTCTGGCCACCCGCATCCTGGCCCCGGGCCCTGATAAACAGCCAGCCAAGCCTGGCACAACTTTTGACCCCATGATGCGGCATTGGGATAGGCAGGCACTGGACAGAGAAGAGACTCTCCCACTTCCAAAAAGGACATCCCAGAGGGAGGAGTCTCAAGGCTACTCAAAAGGAGAATGTTGAGAAGTTGTCCATGCTCAGTGCATTCTTTGTTGGTTGTGCTTACTGGAAGTGTGCTGGAGAATAAAGAGCTTTTGCCAAAGAATGTTCTGTGTGTTGGAAGTGTGAAGTGGGAGAGAACTTTGCTCACAACTTTGCTCACAACCAGGCACAGCAAGTACAGGGGTTAGGCCGGACATGTGCCCAGCCTTTTTGACACAAACGTTATTCCTTTTCTTCTTCTTCATTTGGACACTAAAGAGGCAAAAGAGGAGTTTGTGTGTTCTGTAGGTGGGGCGTGATATGTGGTATGAACAAAGGAACACGTCATCCTGCATAACGCCCAGCTTAGAGGTCTGTGCTTTGGCTACTGCTACAAGGAAAATGAGTCCGCAAGGGAAATACTCTTCAAGGATTAGAAGTGAGTTTTGACAAGACATCAAGAGCTGACCTCTTCTGAGCTCTGTAGAGAGAAATGTCAGACAAATAGCTAGCAGAATTCAGAAATTTGCTTAGAAAATCCTCCAGCAGACATATGTTTCTTCTAAGTACTGGGCTTCAGAATAGTACAAGAGCTGGGATTTTTTTTTTTTTTTTTTTTGAGAAGGGAAGACTTTGTTTATGTGCAGTCAAAATACTGGCAATCTGAGCAGATCTGTTGAAAAGAAGTTGTTTCTGCTGTTTTTTCCCCCGGCATAGACGTTACAGTGGTTTACCAAAACGGGTTACCTGTGATATCTGTGAATCTTCCATCTCGCCGTGAGCGCTGCCAGTTTACACTTAAGCCTATCTCAGACTCAGTTGGAGTGTTCCTACGGCAACTACAGGCAGAAGACCGGGGAATTGACCGAGTTGCAATTTACTCACCAGGTACTGTTTCATTCAATACAAAGTTAAATTAGACCGTTATCTGTGCTTACAGTTCTTTTGCTGTAAATTACCCATATTGCTTATAAAATGGATACAGACCCTAACTCAGATTAGGAATGCTGCATTTATCTTTTGAAAGTGTGATAATACTGACATTGGAAAAAAAGAAAATATTCAGCCTGGCAATTAAAACAATATGCCTGGGATTTAAACATCAGCTTGTTTAATATTAGAGGTGTTAAGGTTCTCAGGGCTACAACTAATTGCTGGTTAAGGTTTATTTCTTGTAGGGTAGTAATTGTCCTGTGATTTAGGCTGCTTCTCTTCAAGGCAATTAAAACTTCAGCTTTAGTGAATCACTCTCACTGTGTAGTTACATTTTATTTTCCCTGGTCAAAAGGTCTGTGTTTCATGCTACTAGACTGGTTATGATTAAGAGATTGTTTTCTGTGTTATAACTTGGAGAATGAGAAGTGCAAAGCAGAAAACCCACATACCATTTTATCACAAGCAAGCTGTGGTTACCAAATAGGTTAAAAAACAGAGGTTTTACTGCACGTGAAGACAACATGACCAATGTTGTGGAATATGGGTTGTGTCAAGGGAAAGGATTTCAAAGCAGAAAAGAGATGCTAACATGTTCCCCTTCCTCTACTTCTTCTGGGCAGTCCCCTCCATCTCAGCTGTTTTAATTTTGACAAAGCATGCTTCTGATGTTGAGAGAAAAACAGCCGGAAGTAGGAAAGTGTTTTGCAGGTGAGAAGTAGGCAGGGCATGGGTTGAGCACCCAGACAGCTCTTGCTCCACTGTAAATTCCTACTCACTTCCTAAAGATTTGACAGGGGTTAGCTCTCCAGCGCACAGGTCTGTCACCATCACAAAGCTGCCCACACAGCAGCAAGACCTCCTACTAGCACAGTGAGAACAAGGGACTAGTACAGGGCAAGTCAGCAAAGCTCACAGAAGGCTGTGCTGACCTGTCTAATCTGGGAACAAGCATTTCTGCTCATTTCCAGCGCTGTTTCAGGAACCACTGGTTCCAGTTGTGCAGGCCTCACTATATCTATACTTAGGACAACTCAAATCTGAGACACATTTGGATTGCAGCTCTGAGACTGTGTTATGCTCACTTATGTTTTGTTTGCAAAAATATTATCTACTTATTTGCACAGGAGGGCAGTACTTGAGTATTAATGCTGTTACTCTAGCTCTTGATATATTCCTATTTTCCTATCTTACAGATGGGACACGTGTAGCCTCTTCAACAGGCATAGATCTTCTTCTTCTTGATGATTTCAAACTAGTAATTAATGACTTGACTTATCATGTTCGTCCACCAAAGAGAGGTAACAACTTCATGCAATTGGGATAATTCTGGAAGTCATTTTCAGGAAGATTTTTCATCTAGCAAATTTAAAAGATAATGTCATCTATGGTGGGAAAGGCAGCAGTTCATCTACTGCAAACCAATGCATTCTGAATTCTGCACAAATCATGCTATCTGTGGCCATCATGATGTGGGGATAAATACGAAAATATAGAAGCAGCAACTGCAACTTTCCAGTGTCTCAAGGGCAGAGCTACTGTGCCTTGCCCAGTCTTCAGTCACTTTTCATCCCTGCGTACATGCACCATTGCTTGCTCATTTCATTCATACTTCTCATTCTTGGGTTCTTGTTTTTAATCTCCATTTCTGTAAGAATGTTTCATACTGGAAAGGTGACCAACAGTCCAGTGGAAAGAGGACAATTCCAGCTGACAAATCACTTTCCTTACACACACGAGATTTCCACAGTGTATTGGTAAAAGAGTGCTTGTAGTGAAAGAACACACTAATAAGACTATAATTCACTGAGTGAGTGACAGCTCTGCTGGCTTCGTGGTAACTTGACTGCCTGTCTTAAAGGTTGCAGGTACAACAAGGCAGCTCGTTATCCAACTAGAGGTTATTTGGGAAGAGCCAATGGTTGTGATATGACAGAGGCTTGGATGTGAAGAATGGCAAGCAGAATTCTGCTCATGGAGCAAGGCTTTACTGCCTCTTCATCCCAGCTGAAGCCCTCAGCATCCTTATAAAACCTAGGATCAGTGGATGCTCAAGAATGGACTGGGGTATAACATGGGAGGTGTGGAAAATGGAGGTAGGAGTCAACAGAAATTACAGTACCTCCCTTACAACAAGGTGCTTGAATCCAGAATGTGAATAGCTATGAATTTACATACAGCTTCAAAAAATTAGAATCGCTTCTAAAAACTATATATACTAATAAAAATCTGCTGTCAGCCAAGTGATCATCATGGTGACTGGGGCTCTGAATATGAAATAACAGAAATTATGACAGGCAACATCACTCACCATCTGCAAAAATTCAGGGTCCTGATTTTCCTTAGGAGTTGAGGTCAGCAGTCAAACCAAGTACCCTTCACAGTGTAGGGAACTCTTCGGGTTTGGTTTTGCAACTGAAATGTGTCTGTGAAATAACTTTAGTTGTAAATCACAACATAGAACTGAAAATAGTTGTGTCTGCAAATAGTGGGGAATAAGACCTGTTTCTTAATTAAAGAAGCCAAAAGTAGATGATGCTTTTGAGAAGAGCAACTGTTGCAAAATCCTTTACCAGACAGAATAGGGAAGGATGGTTCTTGATGCATCTTCAGTAGGAGGATTATCTGTTTTAAAGGTGACCTGAATAATTTAACAACCTATAGAACTGTTCTGAGGGTTTTAAAAAAATAAATAGCTAAGCCTAGACTGGACCAAATCCTATTAAACATTCTTCCTTTGTCACTTGACCTCCTTTTGGTATTGCTTTTAACTGCCACAATGGTTGAGTAATTCTGTTCATGTTGTGTTTGTTTGAATATCTTAACAGTTTTAATATTCTTGGGACATGCTGTGCTATTGGTATCACCAATATGGTTTCATTTCAGTGCTGATGAAGGAATGCAAAATAATCAAGATGTTTCCCTCAGTTTGATTTTACATTTCCAGCCTGTATTGCTTGGAAATGCCACCTCCCCTCCTGACTTGTCCATTCCCGGCATCATAAGTGCGTGTGTTTTGTTCTTCTGCTTTTTGTGATGAAAGAAGTGGATAGTCCTTTCAGATTAGTAGATTTGAATTCAGGCACCTTGCTCTTGTGATTTATGTAAACATAAACATAGATACCTGTGCCACAGTGTTTCAGTCCTGTAGGATCTACCTGAATAGCCTTTAAGGGCTCCTCCATACATTCTCTGCACAGGCATACAGTAGGGCCCCTGTATCTGTGGGAGATAGGTTCCAAGCCCCCCAGGGGATGCCTAAAACCACTGATGCTAGTGCACACTGCTAGTGAACACTGCATACAGCCAATACTGTAGAGTTGGCTCTCATATCTGCAAGTGTTAGGGGTGCAGAACTCCCATGAAAGTGGAAAAACTGTGTATACGTCTAGGATAATTCTTTGGGGATGCTACATCTTTTTTTCTAAGTGCTAGCCAGCCTCACTCATGTGTTTTGTCTGTCAGTGGGCATGATGACTCTAGAGATACTCATGGGGTTTTTTCCTAGAAATATTTCCACTCTTGCAGGGTCCTGTACCTCTAACCCGTGTGAATGTGGAGGACCCCGGTCACTTGCAGACAAGTGAATCTGCAGTAACCGAGACAGTGGATAGGAGGGTTATACTGCAATTTCCATGCAGGAAATAAAGCATGAAAGTTGGAGCAAATGTGCCTTAGGCCCAGGTGTATGATGGCTCCACAGTCCAAGTACTGGGAAGGTAACAGTGGTGCAACTTTGCAAAGTTCAATTTCGGATGTGCTTCCTCACAGCAACTACTGCTATCTGCTACCTGATTCTGGAAAGAAAATGTTGATCATGTTAATTGTCATCTGTATATACGTCAGTGTTGCAAAAAATGTTTCAGTGTTTTGAAGCACATTAATATAAATATTGTGCTGTGTGAAAACACCAAGTTAGATCCAGACTTAGTCATATATAGGACAGACCCATCAAATCAATGACTTGTGCTAGCTGTGACTAACCTGTGTCCTGCTAATTTACATAAATGGGTTTACCCTGAGTATGACTAAATTTGGACCCCAATTCATTTCCATTTACACTTCTTATTTTGATATACAATATTAGTGCTTGCAAGTATTGCCATGGTTCGAATGTTGCTCTGTTGCCATCTATTGCTCAATGTTGTATAATTGCTGAACTGATATCTGTCAAACTTGGCTTATTTTGTAGATTTCACTGAGACATAACAAAGGCAAGCTAAGCCTGAAGATTGTGTGCTGAAATTTACTGCATGCAAGGTTCTATATCTTTTAGTTCGCATTGTCATGACAAAAACTATAACACCTCAAGTTAAGGCAGAAAATCAATGAAGAGTTTATATTAATCTTAATAACCTTAACATTATTTTAGTAATTCCTTCATACTTACAAAGTTCTAAATAATAATACTGAAACAAACTGATGTTATGATAGGTTAAATGGGATATGCAAGAATATCAGACAGGACATGGTTTCACTGCCTTGTTGGACTTGGACTTGTAAGTGCATCCTCTGTTTGGTACTGAGATATTTTATTCCAGCTAATTGTACTAAAAACATCTATACATAGACCACAAGTGCTGCCATAGCTACATTAAATTGATGTAGGCTAAGCAGACATTGAACTGAAATAATCATGAATGCTGATTACTAAACATTATCATCTCCAAAGCTTGGCAGTGTGCTTACTGCTCTTTTGTTCACTATGGACTCTGCTGCAAAGCCAGTTTGTGTCCAGACTACTGGAAGCCTCAGTTTTTATCTGTGAGGGCTGCAAGAATGGCCCTGAGCTTAAGGAAGAAGAGGAAGATGCTATGTGATGGCAGGCCCTCAAGATTAAATTAGATTGTAGCAGATGAAAATGGATCATGTGTGGAATGTTTGCGATTGAAACGGTTTCTAGATTTTATTACAGGAGATGCAAGTACAACCAAAATACTAACCCTTTGATTTTTAGGAGCATCAAGGAACATGGTTCTCCATACTTGGTGTTTCTCTTTAAACATTAAGTCTTCAGTGAACCTTTGTTTAAAACCAGGGTAGTGCCATTCTCTATTTTATGTATTTCTGTAAAATCACAGTGTAGATGCAACATATTTGTTATTTTGGTTCTCATAAATTGTTGAAAGAGTAACTACAGTGAAGAATAAAATGTTTAAACGATCCTTTTGCAAATTATTTAGATCTCTTAAGTCATGAAGATGCAACCACGCTGAATGATGTGAAGACATTGGTTCAGCAGCTGTACACTACACTGTGCATTGAAGAACACCAGCTGAATAAGGAGAAGGAACTAATTGGCCGATTAGAAGACCTCAGACAGCAGTTAGCACCCCTGGAGAAGGTGAGGACCTACATTCTGATTTGCTTTAGCAAGTGAATAATATGATAAAATGTATTATAAGCAAAGAACCATTGAAACAGTGGGTTTTAATAGGTTTTTGTTGCTAGTAGGATTTGGTGCCTAATGGGAAACCTACACGTGAAAACTATTGGACTGCTGTTTCACGTGAATTGGCCTAAGATCATTTCAAGGGGAAATTCACTGTATATGCCACAATGCTACAAATACCACCTGACTGGGGAGCTCTGTCAGCCTTGACCTGTAGGCAACATTTGCAGTTGATTGTCTTGGAGGTACTATTTGGTCAAGTTAATTTCAAATTGCAGCACCTTGGAAATCAATGAGTACATTTATCTGGGACTGTATGGTGTCATTTTTTCAAGCTGTTTTCATCTAAAAGGGAAAATACCAGTTCAGTTACTATTCAGTTTTGTTTCTCTGTTACTCTTTTCTATTTGTAATATATGAATCAATGTCAAAACCACATACATGATGTAAAACATTAAGGCCTGTTTTGTACATAGTATAGCAAGCCAGGAAAGGGTATTCAGTCCACATATTCCTGCTATTTATGCATTGACTTTGGTGCACCAATCCTGGTTAGTTTAAACAACAGTTCCTAGTGTAGTTCAATATGTGTTTACTAACCAGGATCTTAAACCATAATTTGAACATGGTTTGTTATCCTAATTACCAAACTAGCATTAACTAGTAGGTCTCATTTCAGATGTAACCAGATGGGTGCTTCAGAGTTAGTGGAGATAGGGAACATGTGTGGGAATACTTGTTCCCAGATTGCTGCACCATGCTTTAGCATGCCAAGAATGTTACATCTGAAATGACTCCTAATGATATGTTTAAGTACATTCCTGGGGAAGTTGCAGTTCTGTGCTCAATTCTTGAGGACTTTTTGCCAGCCAGGTGAGTTCCTTATTAGTAGAATGCTCTTCTGCAGCATTTGAGGGATGTTGCCACTGCCATGAAAACAGATTGGCTTGACTGGGACACTCAGAGTAACAGGCTGAAGCCCTTCCCAGCCAGCAGCTTTGCATCCAAAGAAATGATCCAGCAACAGATCTTTGGGGCAGATCATCTGGCTGGGAAAGTTCCATTTCAGACTGGGGGGGTAGAGCCTTTTCCGACAATGGGACCTACTCATGAGTAAGCACTTCAGCCTCATTGTAAACATGCATATTCCAGAGTTTATTCACAAGTAAATATTGTGCTTTTTTTTCTTGTTGTGAGCATACCCAGGAAAAGCAGCAAAAAACATTTCAGGGAGAAGGGACAAAAAGTAGGATTGTTTGCCTACACTCCCCAAAAGAAACTTGATTCTGCTGAAAAGACATAATTTAAAAATCAAACTAGATCAGACCGGTCATTCAAAATTAACAAAATGCAAATAGCCCATGTTATGCCTTTTTCAAATCAAGCACAAGAAACAGTCATGTGACTGTGACCTTCCCTCCCTCCCCCAACTCCTTGTTTTGTATGTCGCTCCTTATATAGGACTGGCAGAATAATCCTTTTGGACAGGTATACTGAATGGGACAAACTGTCCATCCACTTGTGGAAAGCTCCACTGCCAGTGGAACATTGGTCAGTTGTAGGCCTCAAAACAAGGCACTCCAGGGAGTGCTTTCGGTGTGATGGATCCAAATTCTCCTTAATCTCCCAAGAATTCCCAGGATTTGACTTTATAAACCATGCTACCTGCTCCCACAAGTGCTCATGCACACACACAAATTCTTCTGCATGTTCTCCTTTCTTTATATGTGAAAAATGGAGTGGGGAAAACTTAATAAAAAGGATATTAAAAGAATGAAAAAGACTAAATAGCAGGGCATGCATATTCAGCAGAAATATATGTTGTTCCCCAAATAAAGGAAAACTTGTTCATTTAGTACTTGAAATATTTCAGCCTCTCAGAATGCTGTAAAAAGTTTCATAATATCAATATTTAAAACACCAGTCGTATTTATTTATCATTTGCATGCCACCCAATTGTGCCACAGCACATATTGATAATGTGTGCTCATTTTATTCTATATTTCCTTTTAAAAGCAGCCATCCAATATTTTGTAGCTCTGAACATTTTTTCTTCTGCAGGTTAGGATGGATATCTGCAGAAAAGCAGAGAAGAGGACAACCTGGGTGCTGTGGGGTGGGTTGGCTTACATGGCCACTCAGTTTGGGATTCTTGCCCGGCTCACCTGGTGGGAATACTCTTGGGACATTATGGAGCCAGTCACCTACTTCATCACATATGGTAGCGCCATGGCAATGTATGCATACTTCGTAGTAACGCGTCAGGTAAGCTTTATTTTTGGGTTAATTCAACCTCATAGGGAGTCCTCTGAAAATTATTCTCCTATAAGTTAAATGTCCTCATCTATATTGTCCAGAATAAATGCCCCACCTGCTTCTGAAGCTTTGGTCAGGTTCACACATGTCATTATAAGGTTCTGAAAAGACACTGTGAAGTGATGACTTTTGTGTGTGAATGAGCGAGCCGTGACAGATGGAGCTTTGATATTCGCTCAGTTTCCCAGCTTTTTAGTTGTTGGTTAGCGATAAGACATCCAGTCGATTAAAGAGAAATCAAATGGTATACATGTATGAACTGGGTTGGCTGTAATGGAGTAGTTCAGCTGCTACGGATTTTCTTCCACAATTGCTGGGTCCTTCCTGTTCTGTTGAACAAGCAGAACCCACCACTTACACAACACAGATTTAGCACTTCCTAGTGAAAACCTTGAAATAAGCAGAAGCACTTGTTCCTGGACCAAGAGTGGTCAGCACCTTCATGAGAGCGCCACTGATGCTCCTCATTCCAGAAATGAGCGTTTTTCTTCATGATACCTATGCATCATACCTATGGGCTTTGCACCTGCATGGAACCTATTGTCAGGCAGTTTCTATAGCTAAGCATTTCCTGGGCGGGAGTCACTTCCTCCTGTTTCCATGTCATATGGGAACAGGCTCCTGCCCATCTCCTCAGTTGCTTTTTGACTGCCATTGCACCTAGATTGGGAATCACTTCTCTCTTCCACTTGTGTTCATTTTCTCTTGTTTTCTCTCTCTTTCTTGCCTAAACAAACCCTCTCTCCATTCCTTTGATGAACCCATTTTTCATTCTTTTACTATTAAAAAAAACCCTACAAAAACTTACATTTTTACTTGCTTTCCTTTCCACCGCTCCTCACACCCTCTCCTGACACTGTTCACCAATACTCTCAGCCTTGAGGCCATGGTGATCACGGACTTCATTCCCAGCATCCAGCCCAAAGGACTACATGATGGACACAGAGTCGGTTATCTCATTATCCCCATCGGAGCCATTCCCAGATGCGGCTGTGTTTGCCCGGGACACAGCATCCACTTCCGAGGAGAGGGGTGCCTCCTAGAGCAGGTGCTCAGGATGGCCTTGGACCCGGGACTAGAGAGTAAGCGGCAACAGGGCCAGGTCTTCGATGCCCTGGGCTCCAGGGACATGACACCAGTGGCATCCCTTTGTTGCCAGCCCTGCTCCACACATTCAAGTCTCCTGCCTTCCTCAACACATCCAGAAGGGTGGAGTTGATGTACCTGATGCTGGAAAAGGATGTCCTGTTTCCAGTTCCAGTACCCAAAGCCAAACCCCATGATTGTCAAATCAGTGCAACATCACAGAGGGAGCACTCAGCACTGGCTGATCAAGAGGGGTGCCGACTGGACATCCTGGCAATATGCACATCTTCCGCCTTGTCCCTGGGTCTTTGAGTTTACAATTATGAGGCCACTGTGGTCCTATAGCAGTCATTTTTATGGGACAAAATTGGCACCATATGTGAGTATCTGCCGGGACACTTCAGGGACACTCCTGCCTTCTTCAGGAGACCTCCAAGCTTGCCAGGCACCAGATTGCCACAGCCCCGCACCACATGGACTGCAGTGCCAAGGGCATGATGGGTGTGGTGGCCGTCTGTAGACATGCCTGACTTCGTTCAGCCAGCTTCCCCCAGGATTCCTGCTCCCACAATGAGGACCTCCCCTTCAACGGGGAGGGTCTCTTTGGTGTGCAGGCAGATGATGGGCTCCATCCAGAAAACACGGTCGGCCGCCCGGACACACGGGTTTCCAGCAGCCACCATCTAGGCCACGTAAGTGGTTTGGGAGTTCCTTTCCCCAACAATGGGGCCTCCATACACCAGCTGCTCTTACAGCCCCTAGTCAGCCCCTCAACATGAGGAGCACCCCCCCAGTGGTCACTCTGCAGCACATCCTCCCCCTACTGTAGCAAGGATACTGGTTTGCTTCCATCAGCCTCAAAGACGTCTACTTCCACATCACCATAGACCACAGTTGCAGACATTTTCTACACTTCCAAATTGGGGAGGAAACATTCCAGTTCTCAGTCCTCCACCTTCGGCCCTCTCAGCTACCCCCGAGGTTTTCACAAAAAGAACTGTGGTGGTTTGCATTCATCTCCAGCTCCAGGGAGTACAGGTTTTCCCATACCTTGATGATTGGCTTCTGGTAGCTCCAGCTAAGACAGTCCTAAAACACATGGTCCATACCACCTGCTCCTTAGTACAACACCTAGGACTGTGTTTAAACCATGAAAAATCTGTTCTTTCCCCCTCCCAGTCGAAACCTTTCACAGGGGCTCACCTAGAGTCATGCTCAGTGACAGCTCTCCCAACAGAACCCAGAGCAGTGGCACAGAACCCAGTGGCAGCTGACCTAAGCCCAGGAGCATCTGTTCATGCAATACTCGGGCTCCTTGGCCTCATGGCTGCTGCAGTGGCAGTAGTTTCCCTTGCCAGAATGTGGCTGAGGCCCTTACAGCTGTGGTTCGTTCACACGTACTGCATAGAAGATGACCCCCCCCCCCCCAGCACCTTCCTGGACTTTCTGCCCTCTGTCTGGAGCAGCCTGCTGTGGTAGACTGTCCCTCGCAACCTTGCAGCAGGAATCTGCTTCCTCCCAGCAGAACCAATGATCACTGCCACCAGAGAGGCATGCAAGACAGGTGGGGGAGCACACTGTTGCAACCTGCAAACCCATGTGTCGTAAGGAAAGCAGAGAGGCCAGCAAACACATCAGTTGTCTGTAGACGCTGGCTGCCCACACTAATATCCTTCCAAACCTCCCAGCATAGTCAACATGGCCAGATCGCCATGAGCAACACAGCTGTGATGTTCTGTATCAACCGGCCGGGTGGCACATGGTCCATACTGCTCACCAGGCTAGCTCTCAACATATGGGGCTGGTGCATCATTAGAGTCATTACAATCGTGGCAATCCACATGACAGGCAAGGCCAGCATCCTGGCAGATGCCCTCAGCTGAGCAACACTTCGCTCACACAAGTGGCAGCTAAACAAGGGGGTCCTCTGCAGCCCCCACAACAGGTGGGGGGATGCCATCAGTGGGCCCCGTCACCACAGCCCACAACTCCAAGTGCCCCCAGGTCTGCTGCCAGGCAGGATGAGAAAACAGCTACTTGGGAGATGCCTTTCTTCTTCAGTGGAGTGGGACCCTTTGATTCAGTAGATGGTAGAGGTCTGATAAGCAATATTTGTGGTAGGAGATGGTGCAGACTTTAGCAGCTTTGGACCATCCCAACCCATCCCTGTCCTGCCCTGTTTGCAAACACTTGCTGAGCACAGGAAATTCTCTCATAAACCAAGGCTCCATTTCCTTGGTGCAGTAGCTGCAATGATCCACTGCATGTTTGCCCTGTTCAGAGGAGCTAAGCTGTCAGAATTTGCTTGCCGCTGCATCCTAGAGAAGGCAGAACTGTAATCCACAAAGATGAGATGGGAACTTGCAGCCTCCTGCATCAGATAGGTCCAAGAGACTTCGTATCATATCACGGTTCATCCGATAACCAGATCTCATGTTTGGGTTTATGGCATGATGTGTTACTGCCTCAGTCTATTCAAGGATTAACTGATGTACACTCCTGTGCTTTTCCCTCTTAAACCTCTTCTTAATAATTCATGGCTTGCTCATTCTTTTTTCTTTCCATCTCACCTTCTGCAGGAGTATGTATACCCAGATGCCAGAGACAGGCAGTTCTTATTGTTTTTCCATAAAGGAGCCAAAAAGACGCGTTTTGACCTAGAAAAATACAACCAACTCAAGGATGCTATCGCTCAGGTAATGCAAGTGGAGAGCAAGAGTGGGGGAGATGATCATTGGCTGAAGTGCTTTCTCTTCTCCTTGGCTCACCATGTATTGCAAAGGTCACTCTCTTTTGGGGCAGCTACTGCCAGTATGGCAGAGATGCCAGGTCTGATTCAACCTGTGGCTACCACACCCTAAACCTTTGTGTGGCTCTTTGAGAGTACGTGTGGTATGGAGTCTTCGTGAAGCCAATAGGCCCCAGAAGGGAATGTGATGGGTGCAGGAGTTTCGTGTAATGACCACAAGGTGAATGGTCATGTGAGTTACCCACGTAATAATTAAAGCCCCCTTTCCTCTCATCCTTGGTGTAACCTGGAGCAACAATTCTACAACTTGTATAATGTTGTTTCCCAGGTAGTTAGTTTGTCAGAATCATTTGGGTGGCTCAGTGTGGAAATTGCAAGTAAGTAAATTCCTTTGGTGGAACTCCTTCCTGGAGCACAGTAGATGCATATTCTGTAGAATTCCCTTTTTTGGGGGGTAATCTCCAGCGCATGGTGTCAAGAAATCCATCTTCCTTCTTTGTGTCAATGGCCTGTAAAGTTCCATTCTTTGATGCTGAGCCTGCACATATTAATTCACACTCTGGATTAGAGGGCGATGGCTTGGGCCTTTGCTCCGTATGCCTTAGGGGAGTCTTCTAAGCTCTGAGAGTTCCCTGCATAGGCTGAGTTGGATCTAAAGGGTGTTACCATTCTACCTTGCTGGGTTGCTGCTCAATATGAGCAGTCTTTTGTCCCTCACTGAATTCTTGGGAGTTAGCACTTTCTTAATTCAAAAGGGCATCAGATTTTTAGAGTAACCCATTATCCATTCTCTGACTGTTCTCTCACAAGTGCAGGAGGACAGCAAGCTCTGGGGAAGCCCTGCTTCTAGGGCTGGGAAGGCAGACTCAAACTGTATTTCCAAAGAAGGTGGTCTCTGTTCTTCCTCCCTCATGGTGGGAGGCAGAATTTGTAGGCCCTTCCATGTGCTGTGAGGGGAATCAAATTAAGGTGGGGAACAAAAAGAAAAGACCGTGAGTCAAGTTGAGCCCAGGGGAGAAGAGCAAGCCCTGATCTGGAGCTGGACTGATGACCCAGTGACGAGGGAAGCACTGGCACGCCAGCCAGGATGAAGAGGCACCTCCTTGTCCCATGTCAGCTCTCCAGCAGGTGGACACAGGAGGCCCTGAGGAACATGCTTCACCTGCCACCACACAGGCAAGCCAGCCCAGCACCTGGAAGCCACCGCTGCTGCTGCCGCCACCATTGGCGGTCTTCACCTCCCGCCTTTTAGCTGCACCCATCAAATGCCACATCAGGTGGAAGCCCCAGTGAGGGGGAGCCTACAAACAGCACTCAGGAGAGGATGACTCTGACCTTCAGAACTAAATAAGGCTTCCCCCACCCCATGTGCCTCTTTGGCTTGGGTTCGGGTGGCCCACCTGCGAGTGTTTAGGTGGAGCCCTCTGTCCATAGGACTTCTTGAGTAAACTCTAGCCACAGGGGCAATCTCCACCCTGCAGGGCATCCCACCTGCTCCAGCTTGCAGCTCCCAGGACTTTAGGGCAATCAGTGGCAGACCCGCCACCATGGTCTCTTTCCCAGGGCTTAAGCAGGCACAGCCAGGGCTTCTGTCCCCATACCACTTCCCAGGCCTCTGCATGGCCCAGGAGTCTGAAAAAGCAGTATCGCTGAGGCTCTTAGAGCAGCCTTTCACCGGATGAAGGTGCATAAGAGAAGTCCCATGCAAAGGGAGGCCTCTCCCATGTGTGCCTGTGGGAGTGGTCCAGAGGGAGGGATCATAGGGGATGGTGCTCTGATTCCGACTCACCTGGCCATAGTTGGGAAAGAAAGAGCTGATCCCTTTCCACTTCTGGCCCAGCCACTCTCCCATCCTCTGGGAGCACTCACCAGCTAGAGAGGAGGGAAGAGCAATGCTCTCTGAGAGGCCTTTCTGAGAGAAGGCATTGGAAGTCCCAAGCCAAACATTTTCCAGCAGTGCCACCTTCTTATTCCCCCGGTGCCATTGTCACTCAACTTGAAAGAAATCTTCCTTAAATAGTGAGAAAAGTTGGCCAACCATGGACCTTCTGAGGGACCGTGGGTTTGGTAAACGTCATGGGCATGACAGTGTTATGCCAGAACTCTATCCATGGGCAAGATTCTGTTCCAGATCCCTGCAGACTTTTCTTCTGAAATTCCAACAGAAACTGTACTCAACTGCAACCCAGGTATCTCCCTCCCAAGGGAGGTATTTCTCTGCTAATGGACGCTTCTGGCCAGTTTCATAGGGGCGTTCCCATACTGGATCTAGACCACATTGCTCTGGTGACAGACTCCTGTCTTACCAGCTGGAGGGCTGTCTTCCAAGGCCACTGGTCCAAGAAGGAATCTCAGCTGTCCATCAATCTGCTGGTCTTGAGGATGTTCCACTTGGCCCTCCATCCACCCTTCATACCTCTGGAGGATTGAGACTTTATGGTTAGGTCCAAGAGTACTGATGTATTTGAAAAAGCAAGTGGGAATTCACAGCAAGGATCTCCAGGAGGAGACCATGAGCCTCTTCTGCTGAGTCTAGCAGCATCTTTGGTCCCCAGAGCTGAGCAACTCAGAGGAATTCAATATTTATTTATTTTATTTATTTATTAAAACATTTTTATGCCGCCCCATTTGCCGAAGCCTCGGGGCGGCTTACAACAAAAAATTTAAAATAACATTTTAAAATATATACAGTAAAATACAAATATATAATATAAAACATACAATATAAAACAAGCCGCCCTGGCCAAATAAAATTCAATATGCACAAGCCAAGTCACTCAGCAGAATCTCCTTGGACCTGTGGGGTGGTCCCTACAACTGGAGGTCTTTGAAGTACTGATCTGACAGCAGAACCTTCCTTGCCTCAGCCTCTCAATTTTACCCAGAATGTGAAGCTCCCCAGATCTGCCATCCACTACCAGACAAACAGAGCAAAGTTCTCAAATGCCCTGTCCAGCAGTTGGCCTCAGGACTTCCTTTTATGCTTTCCCACCCCTCATCCTGAGGGTGTTCCAAAAGATGAGACTGGCACACTCAAGTGATCTTCATGGTGCCATGAAGTGATCTTCATGGTGCCACTCATCAAGAAGACCATGGTACACCAAACTGGTGAATCTGGAAGACTTCAACTCACCAGGATCTTCTCAGTCAGGGTCCCATCTGGCATCATAATCCAGGCTTCATGAATTTAACAATTCTTTCCTTCTACCCACAACCATCTTCCCCTCAGGAAAGAATGCCAGGCGTGCAGTTAAGTTGATAGGATTAGACCCCACAGGGAGCACAGCTTCCAATTCAACTCCGTCAGACCTTCTTCCTTGGGGAAGAAGGGGTCTGTGGCCCCCAGCTAGATGGCTATGCAGCTGGACCTTACTGGTCTACACATCCAGTGGCCTGGTAGTCTCCAAACACATCGTGGCACATTCAGTTAGTGGCATGGTTGCCTCAGTGGCTTTTGGGGGAAGGAATGAGACACGCAGGGTGGTCACCTAGTCATCACTGCATACCTTTACCAGACATTATAAAATAAATTGTATGAAGGCTGTTTTGCCTTAGCAGGAGGCTCACTTAAAGGATCTGTTACCCCACCTGGGGATGCCCTACTTTGTTCAGATCCCTAAGGCCAGCTGCCCCCCTGTACTTGTGGGAGAAATGAGAATTCTTTATGCACTGGTAGATTTCCACTCTCCATGAGGGAAGGAGGCTAGGCAGACCCAACATTGGGTCCAACCTCCTTCAGGGCATTTGGTCAGGCAGGCAAGGCTCATCCCCTTCCTCCATAAATTGTCTGTGTCACAAGGTGCAGCGGTATTGAAGAGGCCCATCACCCTGATTTGATTTATTGGAAGTGTCAACTTGAGACTTCCTAGAAGGCCTCCTCCAGGAACCTCCATCTGAGTCTGCCTTCCTGGCCCTGGAGGTGGGGCCTCCTCAGAGGTAGGTGGTCACCTTCACTCATGGGGAACAGAATTCCGCCAGTGAGTAAAGAATTTCTGTATCCAGACAGTTCACGATCTAGAATTCTGGTCTAAAATTCCAGTAAACCTTCAGAACTGACACAATCTATATGAAATGGTGTTCTTGCTGCCTCTGACATTATCCTGTTCTTTGTGGAATGCTAGTATAAAGGAAATAAGTATTATATGTTGGGATATACATGCATACGGACTTTAAAACAGAAGTAAGCATTTGTTGGCACTGCAGGTACCTTTGCTGACATTTTCGAACCTTTGTAGAATATGTCATCTACTTTGAAGGGGATTGCTATAGTTAATTGTGCATGTTCTTTATTTCAGTTTGGATATATGTAGGTAACTTTTGTGCTCGCATATTAGCATTGGTCCAGATGGTAAACGTACTCATTTTTTTCAGGTTTCTAATTGTTATAGCTTCAATAATAAAGAACTTTCACCAGATTACTGGATGTTGAAGAGAAAGATGGTTCTTATGACATTGCTTTTCTTAATTTTCAGGCAGAATTGGATCTCAAGAGGCTTCGAGACCCCTTGCAGGTGCATTTGCCTGTCCGACAAATCAGTGATAAAGACTGATCTGCAGAGGACCTCTGAACCCTGGCAGAACTGGCGAACAGTAGCTCTCACCTCTTTAATTAAAGCATTGCAGTTGGAAGCTGGGAGGTCCTCTGGGGTGGAGGACTTTTTTATCATTCAAAACAGAACAAGGACCTTGGCTGGGAGGGGGCATTGTGTTCGACCAGAAGATCAGGCATTGTGGGATGTTAAGTCTTTTTAAAGGGCTTGGCGAATATTGTCACACTCAAACTTTCTTTCTGGATGAAAATACATATTTAAGAGTTGGGCATTTCATGTAGAGACTGTATGTGCAGGCCTGTTTTTCCAGCTTTGCAGTCTGCCTCTTGATGGTGCACCAGCAGCCTGCTTAGCTGTTTTCTTTCATTCTTTTTTTTTTAAACCAATAATACAAGTGCACTAAGTGAAAAAAAATCAAGCAATCTTACAAAACTATGGCTGGTGATCTGAAAAATGAACTTTGCCTCCATTTAACATGCACTCTATACTGGACCTCTAGATTGTGTCTTTCCATAATATCAGTGTGAAACTACTCTTTAAAAAATAAATCATGAACTTCCCTTCTTTGCCCACATACTAATAAACAGATTTCCTTCTTCACTGAATGATTAATGATGTAATCAGTTTTATCATGATCACAAAGTGAATAACCCTTGTTCTGAACATTTGATAATTGTCACTGGGAATTATTCCTGTGAACCTGTTAACTTCATGTCCCACTGTCCTGGATCTACTTCTGCATATAAATTGTGATGTTGCATGAGAAAATTCTTTATATTCAGTCTTAAGGGAGCAAAGCCCCCCCACAGCACTTTTATCTCACACACTCCCCCCAAATCTGGTAGCCACCTGGCTTATCAAATCAAAAAGCGTGAAAATATATAGTATTTAGCTCAAAATCATGGCTTTGAAAGCTTTAATTTGAAATTTGCATGACATACTGAACTATGTGTCCTGCTGAAATAGCTTAGTCTAGTGACTTTGGTAAAGGCCTGGAGCAAGACATGGAATTTGGCATTACTTCACAAACCCTTTAAGTGATGGCTTTGATGCCTCAGGGCCAGGATTTCTGTAGGGTAGCAGATTGCAACCCCCCTCTTAGTTATACAGTTAAGGATATTGCACTCATCATCATCCTAACCTCTTGCAAACCAGCTGATTTTTTTCTAAGTGAATCTTGCATCCTGCACTGAGTGAAATCAGCCTCTTCTTATCCTCTTGTTTGATAAGTTCTGTGGAGACCAGACAGAGGTTGGAGAAGGGCTCTAGGCTTAATTTGCAGAAAGGCCAGGTATTCCTTTCTGTTCATTACTTCTCACTGTGTCAAGGCGAGAGGCTCCCCCTTTCTGGTGAACCATGTTTTAAAGTGTACAAAATAAATATAAACCAGACGCCAGGTGCCTTGCAGATGTGGAAATGCAGATAGAATTGTTGCTGCCTCCTCTCACTCGATGGCATGTTGGGCTGAATGGATGCATGTTCCAAGGTGTTTTTTTTCTCCCTATCTTTCCTCCCCAGTCCTTCTGTTTCAGTTACGTTTTTGATTTTGTTTTACAAATACCTGTTTTATCCTCTTTGTATGCAGCATTTTAAAATGGAAGAAAATGAACAGCCCTGTAGCGGAATCCTTTGCGTGTGTTTGGGGTGAGGGAGGGGGCATGGAGAAAAGTCCTTAAAAATAAAATACTGAACATGTGTAAAATCCTGTATCATTTATTAAATATGTATAAAAGAGCAATGTACTTCTGGAACAATAAATAACTATTCAGTTTTTGAAATGGTGTGTTGAAATTGCTTAGTTGCCTTGTGAATGGAGCAATAATCAAGATTGTGTAATTTGCTGACGTTTGCCTGGTCATCCTCCAGCCAATCCATCAAAGAAGAAACCTGCTGGAACCTCTGAATTTAGGCAATTCCAGGATGACTTTTGGCTTCCTCATGCATTACAGAAATCCTATGTGGAAATAGCATGAATTTGATAATCATACATAGGTTATTGTGTGTGTGTGTGTGTGTGTGTGTGCGCGCTTTGGAAAGCCATGATTGGCTGCAGATTCCCAAGGGATGTACCACAAGTGTAAATGGAACAAAGAGCCAGTATTTCTGATGACTTTCATGAGTCTAATACACCTGAGATACGCAGTGCAGAATTTTTTTAAAATAAATTTTTAACCCTTCACCCTATCTACTGCCCTTCACTGCCACTTTTATTTGGGTTCAAAAAATTGGTTTGGTTTTTTTGAGTTTGGTCCCCACCTCTGCCCTGTACTTAAGAGTTTTTAGCAAGTTCTTTTATTTTAGAGTCACCAGTTTGCCTCCTGGGAAATGAATGTTTTGAGATCAGCCATGTCCACTATGGCAGCCATTTTATGAGTGAGCAAGCCCTTGACAACCATTATGTGACAGTTCCTGTCACGCTTTGAAAATACCAACCATTCCCACTGACAAATAAGTTGGTAGTCTTCTAAGCAGTGAGATTTAGATGGGTATTTTGTAATGTGATCTTTCCCTTAATTGATAGAGATCATTTATCTTGGAATAGAAGGAAAAAATGTCCTAAAGTATAGACTAAACCAGAAGCTGGAGGTACAGAATGGTGAATGGGTGGTCAAATTTCCTGCCCCACCCTTCCCAGAAGTCTGCAGATACTGCTTTCCTAATCTCTTGGACCGGCAAGATAAAGCTGACTCCTCCAAAACTACTATTATCACACCAAATCTTTTTCTGTAGCCCAGTTTTTTATCAGGAGTTTTTCCAGGGTTTTCATCTGTTTCTCTTTGTTCCTATTATCTCTCCTAATATGTAAATTCTCTGCCTTTCTCCCTCATTTACCTTATATGTATAATCTTATTTGTAAGTCATCCAGGTGCGGCATGCATCACACATGCCAAATTGTGCACAACATTGTAAGGGTTGGCAACTGGAAGGCCCAGTGCCAAATCTAATGTGACTGCCCCTTGCCCTCAGAAATATTTTCCAGACACGCAACTAGCAGCCACCTGACAAAGCCAGTTGTTGAAACAGTGTCTGTGTCAATGGCTTTCCAGAAAATAGGCCAATCAAGCAGCTAAATTAATAGTAGCAATAGTTCTGGATTGGGAACTTTAGATGCCTATTGAACAAAGTTCTTTGTATCTAGGCTGTAATACTTCACAGAACAGGCTGAGACCCACATAATAAATGTTCTCTCAAGTAATAATACATTACCTTGCCTATACACAGAAAACTAAACTGCAGAGAAGGCAAGACTACCTCTCTAATACCCAATTTTCTATGTGGATGTATTTTGATGTCATTTATTTGTGTATGGGAGCATTCCATCTCTTACTCTCCAAAGTGACATAGCTCAGATAAGCTTTAACACCTGGATGAAAACAAAGCTCTTGCTGAGATTATATGGAGCTGGCAGTGACAATCCTTTTTCTCTACATGGCTGCTTTCCTAAGATTAGAATGAACAGGATACTTCGTTTCCTGGCTATAATCGAAAGGTGTCTGGTGCCAGATTTTTTTATCATGCTTCATTGATTGAAGCGTTGCTTTAATTAGTATGCAGGCAAGTAGTCCATGTGAGGGTGCTAAAGCGATGGTGAAATAACCATACCTTTCCATCTATCATTTGCTCTGTGGTTAGAGCAAGTTTTAACCTTGGAATCTGTTTCTCCACAGTTTGCTTAGTGATAATCCCATGACTTGAAACAGGAATCCAAGGTTCACTTTCCAGGATTCTGTTCATTATTGATTGATTGATTTGATTTGACTTCTATATCACCCGACAGATAGATGCCCTCAGAACAGATTACAGTCATAAAGCCAAACAACAAGATAGCCATAAATAAGACCATTCATGTAGCAAAATAATAATTAAACATTTAAAACATTGAGCAATAAAATTAAAACAGGCTGAAAGTAAAATGTCTCCTTAAAAAGGATGGTCTTAATCAAGCATCGAAATGTATACAGAGGAGACTCCCTGGAAAGGGCATTCTATCACAGAAAGAGGGGTCTTTGAAGACCATCTTTGCAATCAAGCAAGAACATACAGGAAAAGGTGCTCCTCCAGGTAAGGGATGCAGGTGTCGCAGTGGTTTAAACTGCTGTGTTTCTGGGCTGGCTGAGGTCCTAACTTATTTAAGGTCATAACCAAGCCTTTGAATTCAGCATGGAAACTGACAACCAGTGCAGCTGACAAAGCATGAGAGTAATACATATGAAATGCACATTTAAGAATATTACATGAAGTCTAGATACCACTTTCTCACAAGATGGTCTTGTGCAGTGGGGGAGGAAATGGGCCAAAAAATTCAAGGAATGTTCCTCCTTTCCATTTGTCATTCTGACTGTAGATTGTATCAGTGGCAAGAACTGAGAATCTCTTGTGGGTGCTTTTCATTGGGCCTTATTTCCACCTATTTGCAAAGCAGAACGTAGAAAAAGCATTCACACAACGTAGGACTGTGCTTACTCAGTGCTCTGTCATCATGTCTGTCAGGGACCATGCGGGATCAAAGCAAAGACCCCTCTAGTCCCATGTCCTGTCCCTGCAGTGGCCAATCAGATGCCCCACTGGGAGGTGGACAAGCAGGGCTTGAAGGCAATAGCAACTCCTGTTCAGGTTTCCCAGCAACTGGCATTCAGAGGCTCGCTGCTTCCGTCACCTGAAGGTAATACACAGCCATCATGACTAGAGGGACAGAGGTGAAGGAGCAGCAGTACATGTCATAGTGAGCAACTATCACTGAAGTTAAATATCTGAAATCCTACTACGTCCAGTTTCTCTGCCCCAGCAAAAGCTCTATTCCAAGGGTTAGTCAGTTTCTGTATAGGGATTGTTATTATGATTCATTTTTCTCTGCCCTTCCAAGGGATGCAAATATATTAGCATCTTGAGGTGAGAAAGTGATGTATGCACAGGCAGCCCAGGGAAGTAAAAGGATGGGGCACTGAGTTTAGGATTTAGAGATCTGAGTTTTATTTCCTATCTCCACAGCAACTTTGCTTAAGGTTTTTCCCATTTCTCCAAAATACTTATTTTATCCATTTCTGTATATTGCTGCTTCAGCACTCCTTTGCCTTAGATGATTCCCACCCACACCCTTTAAATCTGTGCCTTCAGTTCCAGTAATGTTTCAGTGGAAGCCAAGTTTGCTATTTATCTATTTATTTTTACACTTGCCAAAGTGGGATATGAGCTCATAGAGTCCTAGGGTAACTTGTTTACCAAAATGAGGTCTTCCTAGCTCCTTGACCTTAGAGTAATCAATCTTAGAAGCATGTCCAAGCTTATCTGAAATATACAGCCTTCACTTAATGGCAGGCAGGACCTTGCCACACGAGGCTGGTTCTTCGTGGCTTCATAACCGTTACAATAAGTGCTGTTTTTCATGGTCTTATCTCCCAACTGTTATTGGAATGCATTTGTTATGAAAGGTTATAGAAAACAAATATTTCATACAGTTTCTTATTAAATCGGATAAATGGGTCTTGCAAAGTTCTCCAAATGCTGGAGTTTTGGTGCATGCAGATCTGAGCAGTATGAAATAGCACGTCTTTGGAAAATAAGTACACAATGAAACTGCCATTCCTGTTAATGTTATATGTAAGTTTAAGGGCACATGTTTAAACAGAAAAAAGCCTACAAGTCCCAGCAGGACACAGCAGTTATTTCAGTTAAAACATCCTACCATACTTTGGACACATCATGAGATGGTAAGACTCACTGGGGAAGACAGTGATACTAAGGAAAGACAAAGGGAGAAGAAGGGGGAAACCAAATACGAGATGACTCAATTCCATAAAGGAAGCCACAGCTATGAGTTTACAAGAGCTTAACAGGGCTGTGAAGGATACACTATTTTACAGGGCATTCATTGATAGAATCGCCATAAGTTGGGGATGACTTGATGGCACATAACAACAATGAACATGCATATGTGTGTGCCTGTAAGATACTGTTGCCTGTTTTGAACCTATGGAATCGGGATAATCACCTCTGACTCAAATACAATTCAAAGCAATTACCAGTTGGAAACTGACATTACAGTGATAGAAACTTTTTCAACAGTAACTGCTCTTCCACCGTGACACACGATGTACTTCTACAGATTCAAAAATCATTCAAATGCTAATACTTAGTTCTGGTGGATAAGGTTTTAGTGGCTCATGGGCAAACAATCAAGTCTGTTCCAGGTGTTTGGGACTACAGCTCCCATATTGCCTGACCATTTATTAGAATCATGGGAGTTGTAATTTAAAAAACCCAGAAGGTGTAAGGTTGCCCATCCATGAGCTAAGAAATTGCACAGTCTCATATGCAGCATACAATGGAGGGCAATGTCTTTAAAGTAGGGCGAATTTAAATAAGAGGCCACTGACTTTGTTCTAAACCACCCGCCCTCTTGATCCATGTCCATCTTGGCTGATGGTTCAGGAGGTGGAGGCATTCAGGGGGCTATCATGCCTTACCATCACTGCCTCCTTCAGAGAGGGTGGGGTTCCTGCCTGCCTGACGGAGGCTGTTGCATGGCCCCTCCTTCAGAAACTTAATTTGAACCCCCTGAAGCTTGCAACCTTAGACCAATCTCAAATATGCCATTTCTTTTTTTGGATTTCAATTTTTTAAATTATTTTCTCTACAAATGTAAACTAAAACAGCAATTATTCCTGAGACATTGGACATACTGGGTTAACATCTTATTCTTATTACAATTAATAACCGTATTCAGTTCTACATATAGTCCCATTTCTCTAACCAATGATAAAAGGAATTCCAAGTTTGA